TCAAAATAATGATAATATATTATATAACTCATAATTACATGTGAAGTAGAATAGCAAAATTGTAATATACAAGGAATCATGAGACATATTCCTTACCTTTCTAAAAACATATACACCACCCAACCTAAGTTAAACGGGCTACCCCTAGCGGGTTTCGGGCTAAACGGTCCGGGCAAAAAAAGCCCAGATTTAAACGGACTGCTAATAAAAAGCCCTAACCCTGTTTTTTTTCGAGCTAAACGGACCGATCCATCGGGCTAAGGATCATTTAACATCTCTAATTGGTATAAATATATCGATCTGACGCAACTGGAAATTCAATTAAAAAAAAAAAAGAATTCCTGCATATTTATTTGCGATGTCATAAATTCCACATGAAATTTCAAACTCTCAGTTTGAGTTAATATTAATGCTATTTGAAACTACCTACTGAATCCAATCACTTGTTGTCGTACTATTCATTTTTACTTCGAGGAGCTATTTTGTAGAGGTGTTGAAATTGGATCTTGCCTCGGTTCGGCACGAACCTATTTATTTGATTAATTTCAATTACGTAAATCAACAATTCAAATAAACTTCTGTATAAAAAACAATCACCGCCACAAATAAAAATTTGAGAAATGTTATAGGTACATAATATTATATATAGGGTTGTACATAACACTTACGTTTAGTGGGTCCCGTAAAAAAAATAAGTGGATCTCACTCTATGTGAATGTTATGTACACCTTTATGTACATTTATTATGTACATGTAATATTTTTCTAAAAATTTATATATGAAAATGTACCACACAAATTCCTTTTTAGCTATATTTGTTCAATTATGTCTTGTTAACTAACCATCCTTCTGATAAATATCAATATTATTATTTTTTATTTTTATTTTTGTTTTTTCCCTTAGGCACCATTGTAGTATGTTGTGCTTATAAATTTCAAGGTAAGAAAAACAACATTGCGCCTAGCTCCAACTTAATTAGACACTCTGATGTCCAAATCTAAATAGTATATACCAAAAATAACTAAATGTATTTATGAGAAGTTATCACTATATGATACATCCTATAGTTTAATTTAAAAATAAATGGAAACAAGATATTGAAATTCTTTCCATACATTTCAAGTTGTGACATAAATCAAGACTTTAGCTAAATCCAAGTATCAAACAAACTATAATTAACAATTTGGAATTATAATTAAATAAGCAAAAGCGCGTTTACAAAAGCCACCCAAACCTAGCTTTATTAAAAGCTCAATAACGTTTACATCAACTTAACACTGAAGGATAAAAAATGATACGAGTTCTACAGAGAAACGTAATTCCATTTTAGGTACATATGACAACGATTTTTTTTTAATAAAATATTTGAACATTCAATATGGAATGGATGGGCGACATAAGTTGAATAATAGTTATAGTCAAATTTGCTATGAAGCCAACAGTTGGCTCCATAGTGAAGTCAATTTTCTATATACAACAAGTAAACAATACCATATTATTTGTTTACTTAAATAAATATTAATAATTTTATTAATATGGTATGATTTATTTGTTGTATATAGAAGGTGGAGTCAACTGTTGGTTTTATAGCAAAACTGTATAGTTATATATATCTCAATAAATATGTTAGGCAGATTTACCAAATTTAGGCAAAAATGCATTTTTAGTCCTCTTGGTTAAACACCATAGCAATTTTAGGCCCAAGGCTATAACTTTTGTCTTTTGGTCCTGTGATTTACTGTTTTACTGTAATTTCAATCTTTTGAAGAGAGGAATTGCAACAAATTTTAAATTACATTACTAAAATTATAATAAAACATTAAATTACAGGACTTAAATTGTTAATAAACAATCCACCCCAAAGATATAAATTGGGATTTTGCTGCAATTAAAGTCCTTGATATAAATTGGGATTTTGTTGCAATTTCAGTCCTTAAACGACTTATATTGCAACAAAATATTAAATTACAGGACCAAAAGGAGAAATGTTAAAATATTGAGACTAAAATTGCTATAGCGTTAAATGAACAGGACTAAAAATATAATTTTGCCCTAAATTTATTCGTGACTAGCACTAGTCAAATGTTCAACTAGACAACACGCGAAACATATTTAGTCTATAGGTATATAAAAACACTAATAATTCAACTTTGAATGGTATTTGAAAAGTTAGAATAGAAAATTTTCCTTTTTTTTTTTTTTAATATTTTTATGTATAAAGCAACGTATTACATGTTTTGCTAGTACTAATTTGAAGGTCTTCTCCAATAGTACGTTTGTATGTATGCTAATTAAAAATACTATAATGACTATGCTACATGCATGAATAAAAATCGCAATTATTTAAACTCTACACGCGTGTATGATGAATTTTTTTCAGTCATGACACGATCTAAAGACAGTTAATTAGTTCTCATTAATTAGTCTTCTTATTAAATACAACAGCTTAAATGTGATTGTGGCCATTCCCAATGTAGTTATTTAAAAATAACATAATCATATACTACTAAAAACATGACAAATGAAGAGAAACATTGTGAATTTAATTAAACACGTGCCTGAATAAATTAATTAATTGGTGTACAATGATATTTAGACATGGATTTTGTGTTGTTCAATTCATTTTTCCATATATTTTATTGAGCTTTTATTTTTGAAAAAAAAAAAGTTGTCATTTTAATATTTTCATACTAAAAATACTAAAATGTGTTTAGAAAGCGTTACAAGTTAGTATAATTTATATAATTAGTTTATAATCTTATTATACTTAAATAAATTTAATTTGATAGGATGATCTTTAAAAAAGCTGAAAAATATCTCTTAAGTTTTAGCTTTCAACAATGGCAATTAATTTATCTTAATTAATTGACTTATCAACTAATGTTATCAAATACTTTTTTATCAAATATTTTTTTTATTACAAAAACTAGCTTTCATGTCATCTAATAATTAGAAATTCAAAATTAACTTATCATCAGCTAATTTTTCAATTAAATTTAACAAAAAAAAAAAAGATGTTTGATATATATATTTTTTTCCTTTTTTCTTTCTAATAATGTCTGTTGTTTCAGGAATTTCAATGGGCCGGGTAATTATCACCAAACGATGCTCACAGCCAAGACAAGATTTATCGTCCAGTTGCCAACCGACACGTGTCCTCTAATTAAGACTGCTAGCGACTGTCTGATAATACACAATGGACGTACGTTTAGGTTAAAACACTGATGGTTAATAACGTGAAGCTTTTCAAAGCTAATAAAAAAATGGAGAAAAACAACAAACCTAAAGTTCCTAGCTTTACATTTTTCCTCACCGCCATAGATTCTCTTTAAGCTTTCATCACAGAGAGAGAATCAAATAGAGCTCGAACAAGAACAAACCCCCACACACACACACACACTACAAACGCTCACAGTTTCACAATACATAAATAGAATTTGTCCCCTTCTCAGTTTTCTGTTTTTAGGGTTTCAAGCTTGTTGCTTATTTGGTCAAAAAAGGCAAGAAATTTCTGGGTTTTGTGGGGTGAGAGAAGCTGAGAAAGAGACCTAAGGGACCTAAGGTAGAGATCAGGAAAAGGGGGTTCTTTTTTCAAAATTTAATTCTTTTTTGTTTTTCTATTTCTTGATTTTTAGTTTGTGTTTGTGTGGGGAAATAAAAAAACCCACAAGAAAATTAGTTATAAGAACAGATTTTGGGTGGGGAAAAAGATGGGTAGAGGGAGGGTTGAGCTAAAGAGGATAGAGAACAAGATCAATAGGCAGGTTACATTTGCAAAGAGAAGAAATGGGCTGCTCAAGAAGGCTTATGAACTCTCTGTGCTCTGTGATGCTGAGGTTGCTCTTATCATCTTCTCTAATAGGGGCAAGCTTTATGAGTTTTGCAGCTCATCCAAGTATAATATTCCTCTCTCTCTCTCTCTCTCTCTCTCTCTCTCTCTCTCCCTCCCTCTCTCTCTCAATCTCTCTCGATCCTGATCTTGATGTTGATCTAGATTTTTATGTGAATATATAAAAAGATGAGATTAATTGACCTAATTCTGTGTATTTAATTGGTAAGCTTGTTTCTATTCGTTCGTAATATCTCTCTTATATGTCCCTTGATTTTTATGTGAGATTGTAAAAAAAACAAGAATAAAATGAAATGACCTAATATATATTATATATTCAGCAAGCTTGTTTCTCTCTTTATTTGCTTTATTTCAATCTGGTTTTTAGGGTGGTTATTAAATGAGTTACTCTGTGATCCAAGTTTGGAATCTTTGGTAAAAATATTATGTTGATTTCTTTTTTGTATTTTTAGGGTTTTTTTTTCTCCATTATTAGCTGGTCGAGTTAAAAGAGCAATCTTTTTTACATTTTTGTAAAAAATAGTGATTTTCAGTTTCTAAATCTCTTCTCGTGGTTGTACAATTTTTATTTCATACAATGACATGAAACTGGCAGATAATAGGGTGGATCCCAGATTTCTGATTTCTGTTAAATCAAAAGATTAATATTTTTCAGTCTCAACATTTTTTTACTTTTGACTGGTTTTTAGCCTGATCTATCTTCAGATGCATTTATAATGATTTTGATATGTATCAATTTTCTGTTTTTCTATACCTTTTTCCTTTTTATATTCTTATAAATCTTGTGATTTGCAAGTTCTTGACAAGAGACATTATTTAAATGATTAAAGTAAATGTTTCCCATTCCAATATATGGCAAACTGAAATTAAGGTTGCTTGCAGCAAATCTCAAACAATTTGTACATATTAATTTACTTATGACTTGTTGGTTTTCATCAGATTTTGCGGTGAATTTTACAGGATTTTAATTAAATTATAGAGATTTTTTCGAGCTTTTGCAGTTGGTCTCTCTCTATTTATATATGCTAACAAATTTTCAGTTGTAATTTCTGAATTAATTTTTCTCATATATAAAACCAAACAAAGGAAACAAAATATTACTGAAAAGGTAAACACAAGTACAATCAACTGCCTAATAGATTCTCCTCATTTGCCTTTGTGCCACAGCATGCTCAAAACACTTGAAAGGTATCAAAAATGCAGTTATGGATCTTTAGAAGTCAACAATCCTGGGAAAGAGATTGAGGTAAAGTTATAGACTTATGTGTAACCCTTTTGTACAGGTTGGTGAAATTAAATAATCATTGCTTCATATTTTAGTTAATTTAATTTTCTACACACACCCCAAGTATAGAAAAGTAGGGATTAAATTAAACTAATTAATTCCTACTAATTTAGTCTCTGGAAATTCTCTTGCAGCAAAGCAGCTATAGGGAATACCTAAAACTGAAATCAAAGTACGACTCTTTGCAACGATACCAAAGGTATTCATTCGAATCTTTCATCATAAAACGTGCCGAATATTTGATGTGGGGGGTNCTTTATAATATTTATTTAATTTTTGCAGGCAACTTCTTGGGGATGACTTAGGACCTCTAAACATCAATGACCTTGAGCATATTGAACATCAATTAGAGACATCATTGAAGGACATTAGGTCTACAAGGGTAAACCTAAAACACATTCACCTGTGTAATTAATGCCATAAAATTATTTAGAACATTTATCATCATTAACATTTAACTCTTCCAAGAGTGATTAGAATTTGGTTTAGCCTGCATTCTTTTTTGACCTGGATATTTGAATACACTGTTAGATATGTTGTTCGGATATACAAATTTTAGTTTGATTTTTTTGCATGCTTAACTTTCTTTCTTTCTTTCTTTCTTTCTTTCTTTCTTTCTTTTTTTAGACACAGGTTATGCTAGATCAACTTTCTGATCTTCAAGCTAAGGTATATCTGAACTATATATGCATATATACATAGAAAATTAGAAATACATTGTTGCTCGAGTGTATTTGTGCGCGTGTTTGTGTACGTGTATGCTACATTTCGTCTTTTTCTTTTTTTCTTTCATTTATTAGTTTTTATTTCTTCAATGAAGGAGAAGATGATGCTTGATGCAAACAAGGCTTTAGAAAGAAAGGTAATTTGCATGAGTCATGACAAATATTGATACATGCTCAAATTTTTTTAATATTTATAGTCATCAATTGAATATTCACTATTATCATTATTATGTTTTTTATGGGCTTTATTAATTTTTACCAGCTGGAAGATATATATGCTGCAAATCATCTACAACAGTCATGGGTTGGAGGAGGAGAGCAAAGCAACACATACACTCATCATCATCATCATCAAGATCCTCATTCTCAGGCTTTCTTTCAGCCACTTGATTGCAACTCCACTCTCCAGATTGGGTAAAAAATCTGTTTATCTATTCAAAACTTTTAAAGTTTTTACATAACTGAACAATAAGAAGAAAAGATAAGCCAAAATTTTCTTTTCTCTCTCTCTCTCTCTTTCTTTTTTTTTTTTTTTTTTTTTTTTTT